TCCCTGTGCTCTGCGGCTGCTTCCCACTAGCTATCTATTTGACATTTGGTAGTGTATGTCCATGCCACTCTCTCACTTCGTCCCAGCTTACCCTCCCCCCTCCCCATGTCCTCAGGTCCATTCTCTACGTCTGCATCTTTATTCCTGTCCTGCCCCTAGGTTCTTCAGAACCACTTTTTTTTTAGATTCCATATATATGTGTTAGCATACGGTATTTGTTTTTCTCTTTCTGTTACTTCACTCTGTATGACAGACTCTAGGTCCATTCACCTCACTACAAAGAGCTCAATTTTGTTTCTTTTTATGGCTGAGTAATATTCCATTGTATATATGTGCCACATCTTTATCCATTCATCTGTCGCTGGACACTTAGGTTGCTTCCATGTCCTTGCTATTGTAAATGGTGCTGCAGTGAACATTCTGGTACAGACTCTTTTTGAATTATGGTTTTCTCAGGATATACGTCAGTAGTGGGATTGCTGGGTCGTATGGTAGTTCTATTTTTAGTTCTTTGAGGAACCTCTTACTGTTCTCCGTAGTGGCTGTATCAATTTATATTCCCACCAACAGTGCAAGAGGGTTCCCTTTTCTCCACACCCTCTCCAGCATTTATTGTTTGTAGATATTTTAATGATGGCTATTCTGACTGGTGTGAGGTGATACCTTATTGTAGTTTTGATACAATAGTATTATGTCTTAAAAAGCAATGTACATACCTTAATTTAAAAAACATTTTGTTGCTAAAAAATGCTAACCATCATCTGAGTCTTCATCCAGTTGTAATCTTTTTACAGTAGTAACATCGAAGATCACAGATCATCATAACACATATAATAATAAAGAAAAAGGTTGAAATATTGTGAGAATTACCAAAATGTGACAGAGACAGGAAGTGAGCAAATGCTGTTGGAAAAATGGTGCTGATAAACTTGATCAGTGCAGGGTTGCCCCAAACTTTCTATTTGTGAACAATGCAATATTTATGAAGCACAATACAGCAAAGTGCAATCAAATGAGGTGTGCCTGTATATAAAAGTAGTTAACTGATAAATTTTATGCGTTTGAATTAAAAACTTCTGCTCATCAAAACACACCATAGGGTAAAGAGACAAGCCCTAAACTGGTGGAAGATATTTTCACATATAATCAGAAAAGGACTCTCCCAAATCAGTAAGAAAAAAACAATTGGCTTTAATAGGTATTTTGCAGAAGAAGAAATTCCAAATGGCTCATCAACAAGAAGAGATCCTTAACATCATTCATAATCTGAGAAATTAGAAACAAAGTTTCAATGATATGCTGTTACCTACTTACGAGGTTGGCAAACTTTGAGAAGTCTGGCTGTCAACTGTAGTGGGTATGTTGGACCAACCAGAGTACTAAGATTGGGAGTAAATTTGTACTTTGGAAAGCTTTTTGGCATTATCTGGTAAATAATGGAAATAAACATAGTACCAAGGGATAAACTACAGGAACTTTTATACAAATATACCAAGATACACGAATGAAAATGTTTCTTATAAAATTGTTTGTACCAAGCAGGAAATAGCACCAATGTCCAACAGTAAATGAACCATACAGTAGTTAAAACTAATAATTTATACAATTGCATGCAAATCTAAATGATCTAAAAGTAAAAAGTAGAAAAAAGAAGAATTGCAAAATAATCTAAGGCGAAATGATCCCACATAAATAAATCTCAGGAGCAGAAAGTTGAGACAAAAAATATTAAAAAAATGAACCAATTAGAAATTTTGGAAATGAAAAAAAGTCTTTTAGATTAAAAATTTAATTCACACAGTAACCTATAGGCTTGAGCCAAAGAATTCATGATGGTGAGTACTCAGGAATTTACACAGAAAGGAGCATATAAAATTTGCTGGAAAATGTGAAGAGGTAGCTAGCATATATATGGAGGGTAGATTAAAGGGGTCTAACATTAAGGTTACTTCCCCTGCTGAGGAGCTTTCTTATACCAGATAAAGGTAGGTAGCATGTACACTTCAATAAACTGTTAGTGACATTACATTTTAACAGTACCTATATTAAATGTGTTGTAAACATTTTTGCTGCAAATTGAAGCATTATATATTAAAACCACTTTTTCTTTTCCCTGGTAGCGTAGTGGTTAAGAATACACCTGCCAATTCAGGGGACACGGGTTCGAGCCCTGGTCCAGGAAGATACCATGTGCCACAGAGCATCTAAGCCCATGTGCCATAGGCTTAGTAGTGTAATAGTAATAGTACCTTTAATCTCCTTTCAGAGTAGTAGTACCTTTAATCTCCTAATGGAAATTATGATCAAATTTGCAGGAATTTTTTTTATATACTAATTTTGGGGAAAACTCAAAAACTTGTCCCTGTAAAGAAAAGTATATCTTTACCAGGGAGAGCCATCTTTGTGATGGTTATGTAAAGTCTTGCTTTTTGTTTGGCCTGGTTCATGATCTTCTCGTTTCAAGAATCCAACTGGTGTTGGCATTAAACGTGTGTGTATTTTATATGCAGTTGTCTCTAAGTTTATGAAATATGGCTAGTTGTGGCTTGGAAGGAGTGAATACGCTTTTGATTGAAATGTAACTAATTTTTTTAAATTTAAACAGTTGAACCCACTGTGAGCCTGATAAAAGGGCCAGATTCTTTAATTGATGGAGGAAATGAAACAGTAGCAGCCATTTGTATCGCAGCCACTGGAAAACCAGTTGCACATATTGATTGGGAAGGTGATCTTGGCGAAATGGAATCCACTACGACTTCTTTTCCAAATGAAACAGCAACAATTGTCAGCCAATACAAGCTTTTTCCTACCAGATTTGCTAGAGGAAGGCGGATTACTTGTGTTGTAAAACATCCAGCCTTGGAAAAGGACATCCGATATTCTTTCATATTAGACATACAGTGTAAGTAAAGAATAACATTTACCTTTTAAACATCATGCATTTTATTTTCTCCCTTTAACATAATTCTGTATCAAGCTGTCTTTAGTTTGAATATTTAATATTCAGATATTGTTATAGATTTTCCTTGTTGACATTTTTTCTTAATTAAAAAAGAATATTTTCATGGAAATTCCATTTAACCAGAACATATTTATGTTTGTAAAGACAGACAATGATTTTAAAGTTGCTGTCCAACTTAAAATTATTTAACCTTGTCCTTTTTAGACCTTAAAAATAAGCTAGATTAGGTGAATTGTGGAAATTTATACCTCAGAATGTGCAATACTTGGCGAAAAACAGCTCCTTCTCCAATCCAATTAATTTAGCTGTTATTCATTTTTATTGATTCTACCCATGATGTTTTCAGCAAGGATCTTTTACTTCCTAGATGCACTTTAATTAGTTTGAAAATTTGTGTTTTTTCAGTATTATTTCTAGTCTGATTTTATTGATCATGTTGTAAGATCCTCATAAAGGTAAAACAGAGTCATCGTTGGGATAATAATAATCTTAGATAAAGTTCAAACCTGGCCCATCTTGTGCTTTTATTTTTTGGTTAAGGGATACTCTCTTGTGTGTATGTTTGTGTGGATATGTGCATGTGTGTATATACTTTCCCCTCTTCTATAAAGTTTCTCATTTTTGATACATTCTTTGTGTAGCATTTTAAAATTTTGAGCAAGAGAAAAAGTGATGGTGTAGGTAGCATATAGCAAAGATAATGAAAATTAAGTAGGTTAAAGATAAAATTAGGAGAAGTGTTTAGGTTCTGGTGTCATTTCCATTCATGCACAGATCATAAATCTAGGTAGGTTTTTGAAGGAAGTGTTCTGTTTTTTGTTGTTATTGTTTTGTTTTTTTGATATGACATTCATGGAATTTTACACATATTCATTACACTTGGTATAATTAATGGTTTTTAAAACTAATTCTAAGGATCTTTTTAAACATTTACAGGGTTAAACTTGAGAAGTTGTCTTACATGGATGTTATTACCATTGTATTCTTGAGTGCAAATACAGTCCTAGTAGTAGTCCCTCGGTATCCATGAGGGATTGGTTCCAGGACTCCTTCAGTTACCAAAATCTGAGGATGCTCAAATCCTTTATATAAAATGGCATAGTATCAATATTTGTATGTAATCTACACAATCCTCCCATGTACTTTAAATAATCTCTAGATTACTTTTAATACCTAATACAATGTAAATGTTATGTAAATAGCTATAAATTCAATGTAAATACTATGGAAGTATTTGCTGGTATGCAGCAAATTCAAGTTTTGCTTTTTTGAACTTTGTAGAATTTTTTTTTTCCTGAATATTTTTCAACCACAGTTGGTTGAATCCACAGATGCTGAATTCATGGATACAGAGGGCTGACTGTACCTTCTTTTCTCCTCACTTATTTGGAGAATCCAAATAAAATTTTTTTTTTTCTTTCTTGCTTTTACATACTTTTAACTTTTTCTTTTAAAATTTATATCCAGGTTGTAAGTACCATTAATATTTTTCTCATATATGTTTTTTCTTCCCTGTGTCTAATAATGACTGAAATTTTCTTCAGTATTTATACTATTATTGTTTGCCTGAATGAAATTCTAAATGTGTAAAAATATTTCTCCTGATGTAAAACTTTATAATTATGGTTTAGATTTAGTGGCCTACTCCTAAAATGTTCTCAGAGTATTCTTTTCTCCTGTTAATTGGGCCGTCTGAAACATGTAAACAAATCTTAAGGAGATAAAATCTTATATCCAGAATTCATATCTCAAAATTTGGAGGTATTCTTTGGGGATACTTTACTACCTATTTTCTCCTCCTTTAAAAATAACTTAAACTCACATACATCTGTACTGTTCTTTCAGTAACATTTTTTATTACCAATTTTAAGTTAGAAAAAATGTTTGTTAATTCTTTGTATTTATAAGAGGCAGACTTTTTTTTAATTATTAAGGTAATTGTACCTTAGTATAAAAAGTTTAATTTTTTTACTACTTTTTTTTGTAAACCTTACTTGATTGACTTCAGGCTTCCCTGCAGAGTTAAAGACTGACCTGGTCTCTCTCTAACTTCCCATCTGGCCACGTACCCTTTATCTAGTTTACTTGTATAGCTCACAGAAGGGTGGAACGTCCCTGTACCATACATAAATAGCATTTCTTTATCTTTTCTCTTAGTATCATATTCTTTTCCTTCTTGGCCCTCATAACGGATTTTAGTTAAAGTTTTTAAAATGTCATCTTTCCTGTTACCATTAGAATGTAAGTTTTGTGAATACAGAGTCTACATGTATACTAAACCTCTAAAACAGTGCCTGTCACTTAATAGGAGCTAAACAATGGTGGTTGAATGAATGATTAGTATTGGATTTTACAGTTTGAAGGTATAAATTTATATTGATGCTAGATGTGGATAATTGCTCATTTAGCTAATTATATTGCACATATGCTAAAAGACCTTTGTGTACTTTTAGGCCATGAATAAAAATTTAATGTTTTAGAACAATTGAGGCCTCAGATAATTTACTTTAGTTGTGATTATAGTCTTAGAAAGTTTGTCACATCTTTACATGCCCAGAGGGTATTAATTAATTGTAATATAAGGAATCTTATTTTATTTTTTGTAATTGGTATCTCTTAGGGGATATTTCCTTTTGAATTAAACATTTCTTTAAAGACAGTTTTATGTAGTGACTTGGTACTTAAATGCCATGTCTCATCAAATTACCACCTATATTTTCTTTGTTCATATACCTCTGCGTATTTCATAACAGGACTCTTACATTTTGCTTTTGGTGATTATAGGTTTGTGAATATTCTTACACTGTGTCCATAATAACTAGAATTGTACATGCTTATAGCTGCCTAGTGTTTGGTGCTCATTGTCCATTCATTCAATCATTCTTTTAGTCAACCAGTATTTACTGAGTACTGTATTCCTTATTTCTTATGTATATGAGAGAAGGAAAATACACCACTTCTAAAGTTGTGTACTATGTTAATGCTTTATCGTTGTGTATTGCATCTATCATTCACAAAAGATAATCTGTTGTATAATGCATTTATTTTATAGACGCTCCTGAGGTTTCAGTAACAGGCTATGATGGAAACTGGTTTGTAGGAAGAAAAGGTGTTAATCTCAAGTGTAATGCTGATGCAAATCCACCACCCTTCAAATCTGTGTGGAGCAGGTAATAATGTTAGATACTTCTAAAGAGAAATTATTTAAAAGTCAAAAGTATTCTTAAATGCATATTGGAAGTTGTTTTTATCAGTGTAATATATGATTACACTAAGAGCTGGAAATTAAATTAAGGGTTTCTAAGTGTTTTTCTGCCCCACCTCTCCCCACCTTCCAGCCCCCGCGATTCTGTTCCTCGGAGGCTACTTTGGCGATGTTAGCAATTCCTTCTGGTGTTTATCATCATCGGTCTTAAACTGCTGCTTCTTAATTTACTAATCTTTAACACTGTCTATTGACTTCTTATTATGAAAATGAAAATTTAATTTTATATCTACCCCTTCACACATAAACATACTCATATACATATTCCTGACCTTCATCGTCCCAATGAAATTAAGCTACTTTGAAATAAACTGTGTAATGGTTGCCTTCCTATGACAGGTAAATATTATTTACTGAGAGTTAAGTAGTATACTGGAATTTTGTTTTGTTTTGTTTCTAAAGCTGTTTGTTTTTCCTGAGGCTAATAATTGCTTCCTTTTACTTGTGTAGTTTACTATCTGAATATCCTTAATTCTCTTTATCTGTGGAATTTCAAACTGCTATATTGAGGTTTGCTTTCGTATTTCTCAGTGTTTGCACCCCTCCCCCATGCCCCACACCTTCTCAGTCTAGAGAATTGTATCTGTCAACTGTGGATTCTCTTCTCTTCTCTTCTTTCTTTTTCTTTTCTTCTTTTTTTTCCCTTGGTCATTAACCCTGCTTTTTTTTTTTGTTTGCTTGTACTGGAATTCCTATTTATTGTATACTAAACGTTCTTTATTAGTTTTCAGTTTTTGTTATTCTCCCAAGATTTCCTCGATCCCTCTGCTCCACTGATTGAAAATTTTCTTTTGACATATTTTCAGTTTCTAAGAGTGTTTTCTTATTCTCTGTTCATTTTCATAGTATCCTTTTCGTATTTTATGGATGTAGTATCTTCTGGTTTCTTCCTAGGGATACTAGAATTATTTCCTCTGCAGAGTTTTTTCTGCTTCTTACATATTGTCTCTTTTTTCCTCCAGGTTCTTTTTTTTGTTTGTTTGGTCTTTCATTTTGTAGATATTTCTTAATTTTCTCAGTTGTCCAGTCATTTCACAGTGATGCATTAAAATAAAATGCTGAGTGGAAACTCTTCAGCATTTTATTTTAAATAGGGAGTACCTACTGGGTAGATTCCACTTCGAGTGATCAACTAGAGAGGAGTTTATTTCACTGGGGGAGCTTCAGATATCAGTTACTGAAGAGTAGAATTCTTTTTTTCATGGCCATTGAGTTTATTTATTGAATTAACCTTCATTATTTTGCCTAAAACATAAATGCCTGGTATCTGTACAGAGTTGAGAGGAGTCTGTTTTTTTGTTTTTTCAACTTTCAGCTGATCTTATTTTTAGCCCTCTGCCTCACTCTGGCCTTCTGCAGTACAGTGAGTCAAACTCCAGATCTTGGGTTCAGTGGACCACACTAGCTGCTTCCTCATTCACATGCCTCCTGCAAGCACTTCTTCAGCCAAAAGCAGAGCTTTTCAGGCTTGGCACTGTTGACATTTTGGGCTGGATAAATCTTTGTTGTTGGAGGCAGTCTTGTGAATTGTGGGATGTTTAGTGGCATCCCTGGCTGCTATTCTCTACAGCCAGCAGCACATGCTCCCCCCACCCCAAGTTGTGACAACCAAAACTGTCTCAAGACATACCAGGTATGTCCCCTGGAGACAGAATTACTCCTGATTGGGAAACATTGTCCTAAAGCATATATTGTTTTCCCCATCTGTTTTCTGTCTTCTAAAAGTTTATTGAAACATCTGATGAATTCTACTTCCTGTTTTCTTTCTCCGCGTTGGTTTTTAATAGTTTTTTCATTCCTTTAATCTTACTTTAGGTGGTATTTTGTGGGTGCAAGGAAAGAGTATATTTGGTCAATCTATTGTCTTTAAGCAAAGATAAAGTTTTAAAAGTAGAGAAGGCCTTCCATTTTCTTCAATGTGGGAAGAAGGCATTGGTTAAGATGTGTGATAGGGTATTTCTAAAATTCATACAATTCTGAGTTCTTATCCTGGTGTTTGTACTGGGAGATGTCTTTTTTTTTTTTTTTTGCGGTACGCGGGCCTCTCACTGTTGTGGCCTCTCCCATTGCGGAGCACAGGCTCCGGACGCGCAGGCTCAGCGGCCATGGCTCACGGGCCCAGCCGCTCCGCGGCATGTGGGATCTTCCCGGACCGGGGCACGAACCCGTATCCCCTGCATCAGCAGGCGGACTCTCAACCACTGCGCCATCAGGGAAGCCCGGAGATGTCTTCTTTAAATAAGTTATTTAACCTTTCTAATCCTTTGTTTCCTCATTGATAATGGTACCCCATAGAGTTTTTGTGAGGGTAGAGACAGTGAATATAAATCATGTAACATAGGTACAGGAGCATGGAAGGTGCTTAGCATGTCATTTGTTGTGAGTTTAATATGATATTTAGATTTTTCTAGCTTATTTGAATAAACAACTTTAAAGGATTATAAGCCATTTTTATATTTCTCAGAATTAAAGGGGTTAGAATTTTGGGCCCAAAGTACAGAGCTAACTGATAAGATACATAGACTTCATATTCATTCTTATACTCCTAGAAAAAGGGTTTACCTTTTGAAAGCTGATGCTTGTAAAAATGTTCTTTCCAAAGTCCTCTTAAGAAGAAGATATGGGGTTTTTGTTTTTGTTCTTTAAACCATGTAAGAATATTACCTTTATCCTTCAATGCAAATTAAAGTCATAGCAACTGTAAAAGATTTTACTGATTGTTCTTTTATGCACTTGAGATCACAGACCAAAATCCTTCCATCTGTTCTCCAGTGTTGATTTGCTTCTTTCTACCTTTTCATTGTTCTGTGTTCTTATTACCTTTGTAATTAGTTGTTGGTCTCCTACTAATGTGCTTAGATCATTGAAAGCAAGGACCTAATCTTATTTACCTGTGCATTTCAGCAATACCAGCAGAGCAGAGTATGGTAAATAGTAAGTTCTTAGTAATTAAATAATGGATGGCTGAGTGAACGAGTGAATGCACTTTTTGAAAATCTGCTTAGCTCAAACTATAGTAGTAGTTGAGTGCCTGGGTTTACTTCACTTTTTATCCTCTTATCTTAAAAAATAATTTATGGGCTGTAAAAACACTTTCAAAATAAAGACCTATTGGTTTTCTTCCCCCCATGGGGTATACCCTAAGGTTGGAAAAATGAGGTATAGCAGTATACTTAGTTCCATTGCAATGAATGGTTTTAGAGTTCTTGTAGTGGGATTTTATTCCTATTATGGTTTATAATAATGTGTACACCAGATAGGACTTTTAACCCAATTAGTTGAGAAACCATTTAAAAAGAGTTATTATTGATACCAAAGGTGCATTGGTTTTTGTTGTCACAGATGCCTACCTTATGAGTGAAATTATTGTATAAGAAGACCCTTGTTGGTGCTTTAGAAATTAACCATCTTTGGATAGGGCACAGTATAGATTTATTTGTTCCGTATTAAATGTTGCTCTTTAAATATGTTACAGAAGGTGCTAAAACATTATCATGTACTAAAATGATGACTTTTCGTTAAGAAAGTTGTAGATGTATCATGTATAGATTCATAATTCACTGAGAATTATTTTAATTCTTTGGATACTATGGGTATGTCTTCAAATAATGTATATTTCTAATTTTCCAGTTTTCCAAATGTAATTCTTTAAAAATCACATATTTTTTTCTCTCCTTCCCTCCTATTCCCTCTAATATGTTAGCCTAGCTTCACTTATATTAATTGATATGCATTGATATTTTGAAAGAATGGGTATTCTTAATGGACTTTATCAATTAATTCATCTCTATTAAAATGAAAATTCATAACATATGCTTTTATTTCATAGTGACTTTTACCTAAAGGATACTGATTCTTTCACTGACAACTAGGAAGTATAATATCTTATTTAAATAGCTGTCAATAAATAGAATCTGAAGATATTTAAAGTAATTTTATGCCTTTTAAAATATAGGTTGGATGGACAGTGGCCTGATGGTTTATTGGCTTCAGACAATACTCTTCATTTTGTCCATCCACTGACTTTCAATTATTCTGGTGTTTATGTCTGTAAAGTGACCAATTCCCTTGGTCAAAGAAGTGATCAAAAGGTCATCTATATTTCAGGTAAGTTACTGTTTACTCACAAAATGAGTTACTTAAATTATTTCTGTAACAACAATCATAACAATAACACTGTGATCTAGGCAGTAATTTATACTTGTGAAGATACATATTCCTCAGTGTGAGGTTTTCCAAATAATCTACCTGAAATACATAGGTAAAGTGACATTCCATTACTTAAAAAATGTCAAAACGTCTCTGCAGTAAGTTCATATACATTTTAAGACCTTATGCATATAGCTAATTTTTCAGTTAAATAGTATTAGATATTCTTTTTATTGGTAGTGTGTACCCTTCTAGGTTCTTTCGTATTTACACCAAGAATAAATGTTGGATTTTTTTGTTTGTTTTTGGTAAGCTACTCTGCACGTATCTAATAAATAAAATGGGATATCAATTTTGATGAACCTCTTGTTAAATATCATTGTCACTCAATATGAGGCTATACCATATAGAGTTACTGAGAGGTGAAGTAGGAACGCTACTGAAAATGTTCCAATGAAATAAAATTTAAGATGTGCTTTATGGTCAGTCCATAAGCCACTAAGAACTTAGAATTTATGCATTCCATTTGTTTCACTGTGAATGTTTTTATCAGTTTGACTGAGTATATATTTGGGTATTTACAAAACATAGTTGGAGCCAAAAATATATTTTTCCTGGGTGTAGCTATAAATAATAAATTATCAATGGAATGCTTATTTATAAAAATTATATAAATATTTTAAACGTCTCCCTCCTGACTATAAGAATGTAGCAATCTTTGTGTCTAACAAATGGAAAGAGGAAAAAAGGAAGAGAATCTTGAGAAATGGAGGTTTGTATGGTAATTAGATAATAGGTAGTTAAGATTTTTTTCTCTGTTCAGTCTAAAACTAAATCTTCTTAAATCGAAGTGTAGTTGATTTATAATGTTTCATGTGTACAGCAAAGTGATTCAGTTTTATATATGTATAGATATATATTCTTTTTCAGATTCTTTTCCATGATTTTAGAGAAATTTTAAGCTTGCATTAATGTTACATTCTTAGTCCTTCTGTGATCACTTAATCTAAGAACAGTTTCCCATATTATTTTCTCATGGTATTTACCACAGTTTGTAGTTGTATGATTATTTATTTACCTATTATCTATCCTCATATTTAAACAATTTGTGTGGGGTTTTTTTTATTACTGTATACTCAGCACTTAGTGCCTGGCACATGATACACAATTTTTTTTTGCATGTATCTCACAAGAAGATTAGAGCTTTGTACATCTCTAGCTAGTCCTTTCTGCCAACAGCAGTGCTTTGGTGTAAATCTATTAGTATATTAGTCTCTCTTTCTTCCCTTAGAGGTTTTTTTTATTTAAAAAAAAAAAAAAGGAATCTTAAAGCCACAGGAAATCCATATTTAAAATGTGGTTACCTAAGGACCGATTACTTTTTATTTCTGTTGTACAAAATTTGGTGTGGGGATATTACTTGTAAATCCTAGGCTCAATGTGTTTTAATTATGTAATCATTTAAATATCAAGCCTCAATTTTGCCGTCTTATCTATTGGTGATACGTTAAATTTATATCTTTGGTATTCTGGGTCCATTTCCCAGTACTCATGACTTGTGTGTCCCACTGCCTCTTAGTGATCATTAACCTCCTATGTAGAAGTATAATATGCATTCAGAACTGAGTTCCTCATCTTTCTTCTGCCTCTTGCTACCGAATCTCTTTCTCCAGCAGTCTTTGTTTGCCTTTTCTGTTATTGGTAGCTCCATCCTTACATTTGCTCAGGGCATGAAACCCTTGATACTTACTCCTGATTTTAATTTTCCCCTCATACCCCACCCCATCCATCAACAAATTGATGTGAGCTCTCTCATTATGTTATATACAGAACCTTACCAATTCTCCACTTTTGTTGCCAGTATTCTGGCACAAACCATCAGGCAACCCTTACTTCACTATAGAACAGCCATTTAATTTTCCTACTTTTCAATCTGTCATCAAATGAGCAGGCAGAATAATCCTTTTAAAGGGCATGTTGGATCATGTCAGTCCTCTCCTCCAAACCTTCCATGGACTTCCCATTTTGCCCACAATGAAAACCAAATCTCTACAGTGATTTATAAGCTCTGTACACGTTATGGCCCTAGATTATCTCCCTGAGCTCACCTCTTATTATATCCCTTGTACACCTGGCTTCAGCCACCCTGGCCACTTTGCTGTTCTCTGAACAGAACAGGCACATTCCTACCTCAGAGTCATTGCACATTCTGTTTCCACTGCCTAGAATGTTCTTCAGATATCCTCATACCTCTTTCCCTTCAGGGAAAGAGGTATTTGTTCAAATATCACCTTCACAGCCATATTTAAAATTGAAACCTCAGGCTTCCCTGGTGGCGCAGTGGTTGAGAGTCCGCCTGCCGATGCAAGGGACACGGGTTCATGCCCTGGTCCGGGAAGATCCCACATGCCGCGGAGTGGCTGGGCCCGTGAGCCATGGCCGCTGAGCCTGCGTGTCCGGAGCCTGTGCTCCGCAATGGGAGAGGCCACAACAGTGAGAGGCCCACATACCGCAAAAAAAAAAAAATTGAAACCTCTCTCTTCTCACCCCTTTACTACTGTCTGTCATTCTTCTCTGCCTTATTTTTTCTCTGCAGTACATATTACCATGTGACATACTACATATTTTATTTATATGCTTGCCTGTTTTTACCCCCACTAGAACATATGTCCTAAGAGGGCAGGAGTTTTGTGTGCTTTAATCAATACTGTATTCTCACCCTCTGCAGCAATCTTTAGCACATAGTAAGTGTTCAGTAAACTTTTGTCGCATGCATGAATACATTTGAGAAGAAAATAATCAGGAAAGAATAAAAAATTCAGTCTGCATTTATGTGAATTTATTTATTTTTGACAGAAGTACTAATATACCACTGATGATAAACTTTACACATTTTAAAATCAACCTCTACTAAGTCTTATAAGAGTCGAAACAAAACTTTGAGTAAATATGAAAAATCACAGTTAATTACCACTGAGTACTTCAGAAAAAGCATTATATGAGATGGTTTTCTTTAAGTAATCATCAAGAATTAGACTTAATTTTCTGTCCAGTCTTTAATACAGTATACTGTACTGAGTTTAGTTAGGTCCTCTACGAGCTTCTTAGTGTATATCATGTATCCTAGATATAAATTGCTTTCCCCAACAGACTATTAAAGCCTACTAGTAGGCTTTTATTACAATAAAAGGCCATAACTTATACAGTAAATGATCAGAAAGTTAATCTTTTTCATTGTGAGTTATATGTACCCATTTTCCTCTAGGAAAACATTTTAATCTCAATAATAAAATTTATATTTTAAAATTTCATAAATGATATTTTAAAATATTTGTAAAAGGAAGGTATGCTATGACTGGAGGCTAAAAAGTTCTACCCACAACAGAATAGAATTAGCAACTCTGAGTTATTTGAAATTTTGTTATACATTTTCCCACATTGGCATAAGTTATTGTGCAAGAGGTACAATATTCAAGATTGCAATATTCAACTTCAGTTATTACTCATGGTGGTACAGTGGCTCTTTGTCCAGGACTAACCGACTGCTTGAAATTGTGTTTTTCTAGTTGCTTTCGGTGTGTGTGTTTTTTCCCTGATACCTCTTACATCTCTGAGACTAGAGAAGCAAATTTTCATATATCACTTAAGTTCCTCATGCCTAAAAATCAAAGTATATTCCTATGCAAATCTTGAATTTCAAATCATATAATTTGAATGAACTTCAATCCAGACATAATGAGACGCACTTAATTTAGCAATCCTTCAACTTTAACATTTATAGGGCTTCCCTGGTGGGGCAGTGGTTGAGAGTCCACCTGCCGATGCAGGGGATATGGGTTTGTGCCCTGGTCGGGGAGGATCCCACATGCCGCAGAGCAGCTGGGCCCGTGAGCCATGGCCGCAGAGCCTGTGCGTCCGGAGCCTGTGCTCCGCAATGGGAGAGGCCACAACAGTGAGAGGCCCGTGTACCACAAAAAAAACAAAACAAAACAAAACAAAAAAACTTTAACATTTATAGATTTTGTTTATTTAAACAATTTATATAGTCTAAAAGAAAAGGGAACCAATTCATTCAGTTTTTTTAACACAGTAATTATTAGGCTAAAATATACTTCATAGCTACAGAGTTTTTACTGGACTGTTCGTTTTCCTATTTGGCAGAACTCGTTAATTTGAAAAAGAAACTTAAGTTGTGTGTGGAGAACTCAGAATCTACTAGTTTATTACATTTGTTATATATTTATTTATCACATTTAGCAAAGAATATAAAAAATAACAACTGAATAAATAAGGAATGCTTATTTATTTATGGGAACAATTTGTAAATCATGATAAATAAGTAGCTATTAGTGATTACAAAATTGTCCTCCTGCCTCCTTACACAAAGAATGACTCTCACTGTAATTATCTTGGAGTAGAGCAAGAATTGGAAAGCATGAATAAATATCTCATGTGAATCATGATATATCCATTGCTTAAGATACAAAATATAACGTTTAGCAATAGTCCCTCTTATTAATAGTGAGGCTATGCCATTTTTTAAAAAATTTATTTATTTTATTTTTGGCTGCATTGGGCCTTCATTGCTGTGCTCAGGCTTTCTCTAGTTGTGGCGAGTCGGGGCTACTCTTCATTGCGGTGCGCGGGATTCTCACTGCAGTGGCATCTCCTGTTGCGGAGCACGGGCTCTAGGCGCATGGGCTTCAGTAGTTGCAGCATGCAGGCTCAGTAGTGGTGGCTCGCGGGCTCTAAAGCGCAGGCTCCGTAGTTGTGGCGCGCGGGCTTAGTTGCTCCCTGGCATGTGGGGTCTTCCCGGACCAGGGCTTAAACCCGTGTCCCCTGCATTGGCAGGCGGATTCTTAACCACTGCGCCACCAGGGAAGCCCTATGCTGTTTTTTTTACACTAGTTGAGGAGGGGCTGGTAGGTTTGAAAATTTCTAGAACTGCTGACAAAATA